GAAATGGGACCACTATGGAAATACCCCCTTTCCAACAAAAAAAGAATCATGAAAATCGGTTCACAAATACCGGAGTTATCGCGTAACATACATACAAAAAACAAAGAAAAAAAAAGAACAATTATAGTCGAATTGAGAACCTCCTCCTTTTTTGAAGTCGGTTAACAAGTTAAGAGCCACATGCATTAGAACTTTCTCTCAATTGACCTCTTAATAGAGAACCAACCGCGCTCCCACCGGGATACCACCGGTCTTAATTTTGTTAACAACTGTTTAAAACTTAAGGCGGTTGAATAAATAATTGAATTAAACCATAACTAAAATTGTTCCTTGTAGCAAGTTTATAAACTATGTTAATACTTATATAATACGGCCACAAAATCAAAATGACAACTTTTCGGGAGAGTGGTTTAAAGATTCTATGATAGCCAACCGTCTCCATCTACTTGGAACAGACCTGCCGTCCAATCTGAACTTCGGCAGACACATTGAATCCATGGCCAAAAATACAGCCAGGAGCTTAGCATCTTTTCCAAGGTGAGGCGTTACTTCACACCGGGACAGTTGCTTCAACTACACCAAGCACAAGTCCGGTCGTGTATGGAGTACTGCTGTCACTTATGGGATGGCTCTGCTAAATACCAACAGACCACCTTGGATTCAATAGACAAGCGTGGCAAAACGCTTATAGGTAACTCGGATTTAGTGGAAGCGAAGCTGCAGAGCTTTGAACACCGTAAAGTTGCCTGGTTATCGGTATTTTACAGGATATATCACGGAGAGTGTGCGATGGAATTGTATGATTTCATTGCTGGGATTCCACCCCTATGTTGTGGTTATTCCCAGTATTCGCACGAAGCGTTTTGCTTCCACATTTATATGGCAGGCGGCTACGGAGTGGAATTCCCTACCTGCGGACTCATTCCCCTAACGCTATAACTTGGACCTTTTCAAGGTGAGAGTGAATAGGCATTGTAGGTGCGCATGCTACATCGTCGACCTCATCATTGCTTTCAATCGGGTGAGGTGGAGGTCAAATGCGCACTTATTTTTAAATAAAAAAAGAACCAAATTAGTCGATAACTTTTTATGCTTTAATATTTATGAGAGGGTTCTATGCTTTTATAGGATTGTACCATTGACTTACAAATAAATGGACGACGGGTCTAATACAAAAACCACGAAAAAAATGTCCCAAGTCAACCTATTTAAACGTAGTGACATGTCAAGGAATATGAAAAAGCTAAAACGTTGAATTTAAATTGTAATGTCATCGCAGTACTGTCTAATTTTGCTTGCTTCACTGTCAGTCGAACATACGAAGACTAGAGCGTGAATGACGCTCTGTATACGATTTTAACGCCCTACAAGTTCGGACACTTTTTAGCGCGGACCCGACGTCCATATAAGTCAATGGATTGTACAGATTTTTTTTCATATAGTTCGTATAATTTTTATGGCATTTATTTTGAACAGCACACCAAAGTTACGAATTCACAAAGAAAAATTCAGATCATAACGATTGAAACCATTTCATTAGCAAGCAATGGTAGTTTTCAACTTAACACGCCAAACTCCTGAGTAAACTTTCGGAAGCCATAACGTCTACAGAGAAGCTTAGATTACCCGATTCTGACTACAAAGCGGTATTAAGAGGAAGTATCAATTACAGAACGCTATCAAGCCGGTCGATTCGGACCCGTGAGCAAAGCTCGACTAGGAATACTTGCTAAAGCTTGGTTATTCAAAATGTAAAGCCATTACAAGTGGGTTCAGGTCAATTGAGCACTATTAGAAGCATTTGTTGAAGGGGATTTGTACAAGAATATCACCCTTTTCTTTATAATATCAAGTTCGTCCCGAACAAGTCGTGCGCCTAGTGGTAAGCGGCACGCCTGTTCATAACAATTGCAGTGCCAAGCAGAGTTCTAAACCGCAAAGACCGGTGACAAGTCCCATGTGCCTGTAATTTCAATTGCACCCCTACCCTTCAATACCGGAACGCAGTAATGCTCACATTACAACTTGGCGGCAGAAATAGGTAAAATGGCAGTACTTCCCTGAGCGAATTCTGTCACAAGGAGCTCTACTCCTACTAAAAATCCTTCCATCACCCAAATACTATTTTCTATGTAAGTATTTCATATATACAGGGTGATTTGTAAAATATTCATACACATTCTCACACACACAGACCTGAATCAATCTCTCTAAATCGTAACGGCACAAGTAACACAGAACAAAACAAATTTCCCGGTAGCATAATTTCACGAAACGGTTAAGCGGCCAGCTCGATCATGTGATTCAACACCGCTAGATCATTTTTTATGGGGTTATGTTAAAGACAGAGTCTAATATGGAGGCAATCGAATCGATTGCAGCCTTAAAACTCAAAATTCTTGATTACGAAATAGACCCATCATTTTGTCAAAAAGTGATTAAAAACTTTGGTGAAAGAATCGACATCTGTAACTGTGGTCGTGGTGGACTCTTATGTGATATCATTTTTCATTCATAATTGCTAAATCTTACTTTTTTTAATACAATAAAAATTTTAATCATTGTCATCTAAATTTATTGTTTTATTTTGATTTACAAAACAAGTTCCCGTTGAAAAACCCTTTACAACAAAAACGTAAAAGTTTATTTTCGGTAAAATTATTATGTTTTGTAAAAAGTTGTTTGTATTTTACAAATAACTCATTGGTATAATAATACCACATGTGATCATGCTTCAAAAGTGATCTTATCACAAGAAAGTCATAAAAATTATACGTGTACGTGTAAAATTTTATAATTTTACAATTAAAGCATAAAAATGTTATCTAATAATTTCGTTCATAGGATCTTTAAAAAAGTCTCTACTGAAAAATTGACATTTTGCAGATGTGACCTTATTATACCAAGGTTAGATATTTTTTTTTTATTTTATTCTGTAAATTACTAAAATATTGATCGGAACCTCATGATTCCATTGGTGCGTTACTAAAATGCACGTACGCTCCTAGAAATGCGATTTAATTATGTGGTTTCTCATCCCTCGGAAACCTTCCCTTCTGTTTTAAATGTCGAGGCTAGAAATTTGTACGATTCGTTGTTACGCTCCCGAAATATAAAGGCAAAATATTTGTGCACTCCGTGAAAAATGCGCAGAGTAAAAATTCTGTATCAAGAAATATGAACTGAAAAAATACTTTTATATTTTTTTAAATTCCACTTTTTGTTATGTGTTCTAATTTTGTACGAGTATTTTTTTCTAGAAATGAATTTCAATGTCGATAGTGAGGTTTCTTTATAATTGCATTTAACTTTAACAGTAAATAATAAAAGCGAATTTTATCATTTGTCACTTTAAAAAGTTCTTGGGTGATTGATGAGGTGATTTATAACAAATTGCGTAGATTTTCACAGCGTAAAGCTCGTCGTTTAATGAGTTGTATATCAAGTTTGCGACAAATAATAAAAATCGAAAAACAAAATAAAAAACTAAACACCCTCCGGTAAATTTTTGCAATGATAATAAAAGAAAATACTTCGTATGCCTTAAGGTGCAGCGTAGAGGGTCACCATGAATTTTGAAAAACATTAAAATTATCTACTGTAACCATCGAGTATATAACCAGAAATAGAGAGTAAATAAGGGCCATATGTTCCTGGTAACTCATCAGTGATATATCATTTATAAATATTAACTCTCGTTTGCACTGAAATATAGATAGCGCTAAAAACAGACCGTGAGTACGTCTCCGTATATTCCAAAAATATTCTGTATTTATTGTAATAAAGATAATATCTCTAACAATAGCGTGCTGTTCCATTCGATGGTGTGGGGAAAAACAACAAAACATCTAATAACAAAACAAACCCAATCAAATTTCATCGGTAATTAAATTTTCGTTCATTATAGCAAAGCTCAAGTTAACTGGTCGATTTGAAGTGAAACAATTGACGACACTCGTCAATTGTTTCGAATTCGGACTGGCCAATCGGAGCGCAGTTATCACAGTAATGATATGGCAGAACAGTTTTCAAACAAGTTAATTAGATGACTACATATACTCATTGACTTACAATTATATGGACGTCGGGTCCGCGCTAAAAAGTGTCTGAACTTATAGGGCGTTAAAATCGTATACAGAGCGTCATTCACGCTTTTGTTCGACTGACAGCGAAGCAAGCAAAATTAGACAGTACTGCGATGACATTACAATTGAAATTCAACGTTTTAGCTTTTTCATATTCCTTTACATGTCACTACGTTTAAATAGGTTGACTTGGGACATTTTTTTCGTGGTTTTTGTATTAGACCCGTCGTCCATTTATTTGTAAGTCAGTGCATATACTCGATGACTGTAACCTATGTTGATGAATAAACAAATTTGAATTTGAAATAGCGGGTTTTACACAGACACTCTACCGCGCGTGCTACAGCAATCGTGTGCGATTGAGCGCGCGTGTAAAGACGTCCAAAAGGACAAGACTGCGCGATCACACTTGTCAGTCACCCGCGCAATCGCGCACCCAGACGCGCCAGTTTCACGCGGTCTATCCTGCGGCAGCTCTATTAGCCTTTACATGGATTCTCTTTCCGTTGTAACAAAAACGAACATGAATAATCGCGCGCGAAAGGACGTTAGCTTAATTTCAATTATGCTCGCGGCGCCCCACTCTACATTCTATCACTTCAAATAAATTTGAACTTTTTCTTTAGAAAAAAACTGATGAGACTTGTCAACTTACGTCTCAGGGTGATGGGCGCAGTGGCAGTGCCTCTCTGATCTTTGTGATTTACTAAGTGGTACGGCAATTGTTATGTTATGTTACTTGGTCTCGTAAAAAATAATTACTTCGCACCAAAATGCTCCACCGCCCGCTGCTCTTTCAGTGTGACTTGACCCCCGAAATGAAGTAAATGCAGTATAGTGTATATCTTATTTTAAACTCTCGCTTCCCTCATAGCCTAAAAGATTAATTACTGTTATAAATAACAATAATTTTACCTTCAGTCCCAGTTTTGCTAGTATCGGACAGAAACAATGCAACCAACACCAAGTCGTAGACAAGCAAGGCGATTCCGCATGCAGTAAAAGGTAGCAGGGAAGCGTAGAACCCATATGCCCTGGTGCCTTGAGCTTTGTTTAGTAAACAGAAGAACAGCCACAGTATATGAAGAACCATCCAGATCTTGATTTTTCTGCAAGTAGACATTCAGAAAAACAATTCTATTTTTTATGACATCAAGTGACGGAACGAACGGGTCTTGCTAAGCGACATGCCTGTCCACAACAGTTGCAGTGCCGCGGTGGTAAGGCATGAAAGTAATCGTTAGTAAAGCCGGACCATCATAAAAATTATGTGCCATTAAATTTGGCGCCTTGTGATATTTAAACGTAACACTTAGCACACAAGGTACTATTTATAACCCAATGGTTTTCGAGTTTTCAGCCGCCATTATTAGGACTAATTCTACTATGGTTTTACAGCGGACTTTTGCAAATGTGTGTGTATATTTTGATATGAGTGCCTAGTTGCGTGGTAGATTGCGCCCTGTGATTGGCTGAGATGTCGAGATCCATCATACTCCATATTAACAAGGACAGGTGAGTACGCGTTTATTATTGAATACATACGCTTTGTAAGAGGCGGGGTATGTGCGCTGTCTAGTACTATATTTCTGTAATACGTGGACAATTCGAAAATAGCCGGTAGGAATCGAGTTATATGGACGCCTCGATTCTGCAGTGCCGCCCAGAGCTTCCCTGGACGAACTCTTTCACAAGGACTTCTACTGCTAGTATCTATGTCTAACAGTAAAATTAATTGTGTCCAGAAAAAAATCTTGTATAAAGAATAAGTAATTTTTCTTATGCGTTCAAAGTGTTTCTTTCAATTTACGTATGAAACAAAAGTCTTGTAAATTTACGTAGGTATACCATGGTATCTATCTTATAAAAGTGATATAAATGACAGAAAATAGACTGTATTTATTAGTGTATAAATAAAATTAAAATGTTCAATCAATTACGGGGTTCCGGTGCGAAACTGTAGCGAGGCAGCCGCGGGCGGTGGCATTTGCCTGCGCTTCAGTTTATAGGGCGCCCGGTAGGAGCGCAGAAATAAAAAGTTTACAACCCAGTTTTGGAGCACATTACACCGGGCACTCGTAGAGGTAGAACCGCTGCAGTGGCATAATAAAAGACTAAAGAGAGGAAGACGTACTTACTTATTAGATAAAGTAATATTTGACATGTTAGGATAATTGTTTCCGTGCTATAAGCAATTGTTAGACGAAAATGTTATTTTAGCGCCTTTTTCTTTATTTTATAAATAAGTGGTAGAGGTATTAAGAGATTTATTAAGAGTTTTGGTTTGGATACAAGTCCTTTGAGCCATGTCTTCGTTTTTTATCGGGATAATATTTTCCATTGTGGTTCTACAACCTTAGAATAATAACGCATAGAATGATAGTTTCATATCAAACGAACTGTCACAAGTGAAGCAAAAATCAAATTAATGTAGGCTAGTTTTAGTAGTAGGTTAATTTTCGGTTTTAGTGAATATTTATATATAAATACAAGTTGAAACGCGTTACTTCCTTGTGGAATGTGATGTTAGTATCTATTTCATGTTTGTCTGATGTATTTTTACACTCATTTGCCGCACATTTCGTCATTTTTAGCTAAAAATTTTTGATCAGTTCGCGGTGCAAGTTGACCTTGAGCACTGAAGGCCCGCCCGCTCGTGTAGGCCCTTTGGGAGCGCTTCAATTTGCCTCACTTAGCGTGTGCGGACTAGGTTTCTATGCGTTATTATTCTAAGTCTACAACATTATGTTTTCACTTTTTCTTGAATAACTTAGTTCTCTTGTTTGGGCTTTTTGAGCGGTGGAACTCAATATTTATGTTTTCACTTTCATTTAAATTATATTAATATGTCACTTTCAACGAAAACTTTGAATTCGTAACTATTGCAATTTTCATGATAAACTCTTTTGTAATTTGATTTAAAATAAGGAATATAGTTGCAACTTTCTTCATCACTGTTTCTTTCTTAGTATTTTCTTCATAATATACTTAAAATAAAATTCATCTTTGTAAAAACTGTTTTCGTAACTTCAAAAGTATGCTATTTTCTTTCGATTACTTAGTTCATTGTTAGTAATAGGTACTGTTGGGTAATTTTCCGAAAAATTTCAAATAGTGGAAAATTTTCCGGAAAAATCCCGAAAACTTGGAAAATATGGAAAAATATAATTTGGAAGGCTCACAATTGTTATGTTCTACGTTTAGAAATATCTTTTGAAGTTTTATTTAGCATGAATTATAAAATAAACTTGAATACTTAAAAGCCATTTAGAGAAAAACGAGATGAAATGATTTCACAACACTGGAAACAACCTCCCAACAACCACACCAACACAAATTGTTGTTGGCTTTATCGTTTTCGTTCAGTAACTTTAACTTTTGACAGGTATCAATGTCAAATGTGGAAAACTAAAGGATAAATATCCGGAAAAATATTCATTTTTCTGAAAAGTAAGATTTTTTCAAAATTGAGTTTTTTTCCATGACCCAACTCTAGCAGATACATTAAATACTCACTTTGCAGGCCTTGGCCGGAAAGAATTCGCACGGTGCAGAAATGACAAACTTTCCGTATTCTTTTTGTGAACAAAATGCAAACATTTCCGAGCACATTTAAGAAAAATACATTTTATTCACATTCACTCTTTGTCATTGTAATGAATAAATTTATTACAAGTTGCTTAAATAATAAACATTCAACGTCAGTAGTTTCAAAGTTTTTAGAAATTTCAATTGTATACGATTTTAAATGATACGGTGTTTTGAAGTTACAAAATTGTCAGTCAGTTACATTGTAGGAAACTGTTATTGACTACAATATTTTTTTATTTATTATTTTATTTAAACTTTATTGACCACAATACAAAGGGTACAAAAGGCGGACTTAATGCTAAAAGCATTCTCTACCAGTCAACCTCTGAGAAAAACGAAATTCACGAACGCGGTAAATAAACAGAATATTACGGTTATATTAAAATAAATGAAACAAATTCATAATTATATATATAACAAACTAACCTAATACCTTACCTAATAATATAATACATACACTTACATACATACAAATATACTATACATATACAAAATACTTACAATAACAGAATATGATGATGATTATTGCTGTGACAAACAATTTAGAAGATGCTCATGAACATTATTTTTAAAAGAAAATATATTAGGAGACCGTCTGATGGCGTCCGGTAGAGATATTTTATGCAAATCCTGTTCTTATGGACGCCAAATGGCGAGACAATTAAAACATTTTTACGTCCTTTATTTTCATTACAATACATTAAGTCTTTTTTAGTTATCAGGTAAACAAAATATACCTAATGGAAATTGGCATATCATTTCTAAAATAATATTCTTAAAATGATTATAAGTAAATTTGAAAATTTTGTTAATTATATAAAAATAACACTTGGGTACAGATGCAAAACCCAACAAATTGCAGGACAATTTGCTGTCGGATATACTCTTATGTTTATAACCATGCCTATCTATCTATATCTTGTCAAAATATATATATATACAGTACACACTTAGAACCAGAATACAACACTTATTTATCTGAGATTTGCAGCTCAACAGCAATTTGAAGCTCAGCGTCATAGAACAAACGATTTTTCTGAAGCAGCAGGCCATGTGGGCGGCGAGGGACACGCATTTTTTCCCACAGCACGCCATGCCTAATCTCTAGTAACTTTTGTATAGGTCATGTGGGCTGCCGGCGGGACACCTTTATTCATTATTACGACGCACTACCCCGTGATTCCACCAAAAACAGACGGATATCGCCACTAGAGACGAGTTCGATACTTGATTACGATCTGGATCAGCTGTTAGCAGAAGAGCCAAAAAATTGGCTGTGTTCGCCGAACGCACAACTTATATTTTCGGCCTGCTGATGCAACCTTTGACTGGTCAGGACTAGAAAAATAAAAAATAAATTATAATAAAAACACATAGTGACCTGCTGCACTTGGGTTTTGTGGGCGGCCGGCGGCCCACATGGCTTGCTGGTTAACGTTCGAAGATACGTAGCCTGCAGTCGAATTTTTGCGGCCGGCCGGCGGCCCACATGACGCTGAGAGTGTATAGCAGTAGAGCTCCTTGTGAAAGAGTTCGTCTAGGGAAGTACAACCACCTTACCTATTTCTGCAGTCAAGCAGAAATGTGACCATTATTGTGTTCCGGTCCTAACGGGTAAGGGTGTATGTGAAATTACAGGCATATGAGATTTGTCAACTTATGTCTCAGGGTGACAGGCGCAGTAGCAGTGCACCTCAGATCTTTGTGATTTAAAGCTATGAGTGGTACAGCAAGCAGAGACAGTGGGTTCGGACTCGGGCTAGCGCCTTTGAGTTTCTCGCAATTTGTGTGTGAAATTAAGTTTGAAATTTACCATGAGCTTTTCAGTGAAGGAACTCGTCATAATGAAACCTGCACGTCGAAGAAAACTTTCGCCTAAGCAGTGGGCCCGTATAAATGGGTTGTAGATGACAATGACAGATCTAGTGGTATACGAATTATATTAGAACTCAAACACGCTTGAAAATGTTTGCATCACTTTCAAAAAACGAATACGGACAGTTTGTCATTTATGGACCATGCGGCTTCTTCTTGGCCAAGGCCTGCAAAGTAAATATGAAAATCCATTACTGTCCCCTTCTCTAAACTTCTAAACCTACCTACTTCTTTTTGGCGTGTCGACTCTGACGTTTATATTTGTTTACATTTATCTACCTATCAATAATGGAACTATGTAAACAGGCAAATGAAAATCTCATACAGCCAAATGCCCAGTGTTCGTAACTACGAGAATTAACAATTCCTACGGTACACCGTTTACTTAAAAGAAAATAAAATGGCGGTAACATGTAAATTAAAGTGTTTTGGTATTCTTTTTTTTGCCGCCATTTTTGAATTTGGTTGCGAAAATGAGTGCTAGATGGCTAGTGAGAAGATCAATAACGAAAATACAGTGATCGATATACATTCAAATACATCATCAGAAGTTCAGCAGACCACTATTAATGTATCTTCCTCTCGTTAGTATTTTATTATTTCCTCGGATTGTCTGACAAAAATTCTATACATGCCTCGGCAGGAACGGGGACGGCTTGACTTGTATTAATACAAGGCCTCGCCGGCACTCGTCCTTGTAACTCATACTTGTCCAGCAATCGCTTACTTCCCGACCTCTGCAATAATGTACTAATCTACTAATAAACATCTATTTAGGATACCGTCATCTTATGAGAGTCACGTATTTTTATATAGTTTGCTATTATTGATTTTTGTTGAAGTAAAATTTGTACCTTAGTTGAATCGACGTATCATGAAATGTGACTTTATTCCACCAAGGCCGCGAATATATTGCAATTTTTTTTAATTTTTTTTCATAATTGTTTATAATTGATTTTGCATGTGAAATAACAGTACTTTGGGTAGGGCGCTAAATAAGAAATTATTAACGAGAGTTTGTTAGCGTTTTAACGATTGCCGCCCGTGCTACATACGATGTTTTTCATCACATTTGCGAGGAAAGATATACAACTTATTATATAAATAATTTATTTCTTGTATGAAAAAATATAATACAAAACAACATTTACGAATTTTGCAAATGGCGGGTCCTCTGTTTTTTTTTTTAAACAGATTGCCAGCTATTCTTCAATCAATAATACAACTCGAACTAAAATATTTTATAAGTTTATTTTATTGAAATTCTAAAAATTCTACAAAAATTTAATAAACTATATTTTGTTTTTTTATACTTCAAGTATATGCGAATATGTGTTCTGATTTTTCGACTATAAAACTTTTTTACTTTTTTTTTTAATCTTGACGTAAGTAATCCGCAAGACGATAATGTAATGGAAAAGCCCGTAGGCATAATTTACAACATTATTTACGAGCAAGTGTGATGAAAAGTCTATTTTATTTATTAATTAATACATACCCTCTAAAACTCGTAGCGCATTCATTCTTCACAATCCATTGTACTGATTTTAATGAAAGACTGTCTCTTAGAAGAACAGTATAGTTGTAGAAGTAGACTTGCTGACAAGCCTCGGGGTCGTAGAGATAAAGAAGTTTCATCAGTGTCACTTCCTGCAGCTCATGCGTCGTCGGATGCAGTTGACAGCTCAATGTAAGCCAGCTGATCACTACCGCTATTGTGGCTAATAGGAATAGTCTTAAAGGTTATATTTCATTTAACGCTTCAGCAACAAAATAAACACTGCCTTAGAATAGAATCTTCATAGGATACCCCTATAGCATAGTATAATAAAACATGTGCACGCCCGCCGCGCGTCGTGTGTGGATGCACACATTCGCATAATAATGAAGGGCCTGTGAGGCGACCAGCGCTAAGCAACGCGAGTGTATCGGGAAATTATTGAAATGCACAGAATTATACAGTGGAAGTACTTAGTTGCAGTGGCACGTGTGCCAACAACACGCGGAGTTCCACATACTTGAGCTCGTGGTCGGTGGTGCTTATGGTCGTGTCAATTATCTCGCCCGGTCAACGTGGCGGCGTGGTGGAGAGGAGACTCGTGTCCAGCTATGGGACGTATAAATAGGTTGATGATGACCGGGCTTTCAAAATATTTCAAACGTGAAAAGAAAATTGCTTAAGGTAATTTACAAATCCAATACTTACTTTGGACAAAAATGGATACAACACTGAACACAGCGTGAAAAGAACTCATTCTACTAGAGTCCTTGACGTAACCCTTTCATTTCAGTATTTCTGAATTTGTTAGCCTGCTTCCGAGACAATCTAGTTACAAACAAATTCTAGTGGGCCGTGAACCAATTTGCTGTCAACGGAATTGCTTTGGCCGTGTTTTGATTACAGCCAAGTCCAAAATTAATGGCCATCCTCTCCCTATCGAGGTGATAATGAAAAATTTAATAGCATCTTTCGTTCAATGTCTGAAATTGAATTCAGTAAAGAATGGAATCGTTTAATTTAATTTCGCGTTTGCTAAAGTAGCATTTTTCATAAATTGCTTTTAATCGCGTTTGGATAAATATACAAATCTGTTTACTTTTCAAAATCATCATTATTATATATAAAACAAGGTTGGCTTTCACGCGAACGAAAGTACAATGTGTTGTAGAAAACAAGTTTTTCAGGGGCGGGCTCAGGGAACGGGAGATTTCCCTCTCGCATCATTCTAGATCTTACTTCCTTCTTCAAAATTCTAAACCGGATAGTGTTCATGACTTTGCAAACATACATATTCATAGCAGTGAAGAATAATCCACGTAGCCAGCAAATAGACGCTACGATCACAATCCATCCTCCAAAACCATCTGGATCTGATATTTTCAAATTTAGGCTCCAGCCAGCGTGTCTGATTACCATGCTATAAGTAATGCTTTTTTGAATATGGACGACATATATTATAGCCATCGATATATCGAATACGACGACCGCAACTGACATAATCAAGAAAACGTATATAACAATCTTGGTTAATTTGATTTTGTCGTCAAATTGTTTACGGACCACTAAGCCAAGACAGATTGCGAGGACAAACCAGATCGCATGAATAACTATGGTGTTGTGTATATGACTGTGAACAAACATTTACTATTGAATTCACTTGAGGCAATATTGGTTAAATAAGCGAAACTGTCATAGCTTGTTTGATAGTGAGCCCTATGTAAGCATAAATGGGTTGAACCTTGTTACGGGCACCAATGTGCCCTTTCAAACAATGTGTTTGGTTAGATAAATAAGTACTGTATCAGTTTAAAGGCGGACAAGCGACGACATATGCGAAAAAAATTTACAAAATTTTGAAATGGCACGTGATGTCTGTTCGTATTGGATCAACGTTTCTTATAGTCTAACAACATCTGAAGTTTGGGACAAGGATTAATAAGTAATTGTTAAAAGTTAAAATATAGTTCAACATACTGTCTAAAACTGGCAGATAATCGAGCGGATACAGTAATAACGCATGGAGTCCATCTAATGGGGTAAATGAACTTTCCTCCCAGAGTATCGTTGCTGAGAATCATATTGTTGATGCCTTCCTCATCACTAAGTTTGTAACTACAAGCTTTCGAGTCATAAAGGTACATAACTCGGACTATTTTGGAAATTTCGATATTCGTGTAATCTGGATTCCAAATACAGCCTAATATGGTAAAACTGCCCACGAAAACAATAAAACCTGAAAACAAATTAATCAAATTAGTGTATCTACTCTATATATGTTTAAGAAGTTAAATCGAAAATCCCTGGAAAACCAAGTGTCGATAGCAGTCGACATTCCTCGTTAAAAAATTGAGGGAATGGTTCGGTTGGAATACCACCTCGCTGTTTAGGGCGATAGCCTCTAAGTCACTCTAAGAAAATAGTGTCCTATTGAATTTATTACTGTATCACACGATAACACCAATTCACTGGGCTTTATTTAAAGAATTATGTATCAAGGTCATAATTCGTAAGGTCCAAATTTTTCTATGATTTCAGGGCTGTCAAAAATCATAAATATTTCCTCAAAAGTCTTTTTCGCGAACGTAATATGTCCATGTGATTGTGTGATCAAGAAGTATAAACCTTATGTACGTGGGAAAAAAGTTTCCTAATCAAATACCATTCAACATCCTCAAGTGACATAAATTATAGATCTCATAAGAAGATGGCGCTTGAACCAACGAATCAAGTTCGCCGACTATGATAACTGGAGCCAACATCCCGAGCCGAAACCATACATGTTATCACCGTCTACAGTTAACAAAGGAAATTACTTGTACTTTAATAAGTCTTAGACTTAATCGACGGTGGACAACAATTGCTTGCGACAAATCAAGTCAAATCCAAACGACGCTTTGCGTTTAATGATGGAACGATTTTTGGATTCTTTTAAATTCTCTTTTGATAATTTTACATACATATTATCACGCCTGTCTCCCATCACCACAGCAGAGACCATATACCTCCACCTGCTATGCTCTTGACAAACCTCCTTCGCTTCCTCTATTCTCATCAGTCCCTTCATACATGCCCATTTATTCTTGGCACTTCTATCCCGGC